ACGAAACATTAAAGTATAATTCTTTAATTTTTATATTTAACAAGTCAGAATTCTTATTTAAAGCGGAGAATGAGCATACATAAAATGAGTAAATTATGAGGATTAAGTAAAAATACACACTTGTTTTGTATTTGGCATTACTAACACATATAACATCCTGTTGTGTATTCTGAGTCCATTAGATTTTTGCAACAACCACTGAGTCTGTTCAGTAATCTAAGCCCTCTTGCCATCTTCTCTACCGCTTCGTTATTGCTCCTTTATGCTCAACTCCTTGTTTTACGGTTATTTCTTCTGGGAAAATTGCCTTTGACATGTTAAAGTAGATAGTATATGCTTTTTCTCATAAACATGTTTACATCATTCTATATTTTTACATTTGATTGTCATATGCCATAATTATATATTGGTACTTTTTAGTCACTAATGGCTATAGCACATACACTTCATACCAGTCCCTGACCCTGAAAAAAAACTTTAATAATTAAAGTCTCTATAATCATCCCTTGGCTTACCTATAAGTCCATCTAAGCTAACCAGTACAGTTTCTTAAATATCCTCGGGACAATAAATTTATTTATTGGACAGAGATCACAAAACTGTGCTATCATAGCATGGAACTCTAGTAACCAAAATTTCATTTTTCTCTGCAAATTTGTTTGTTGCTTTCATGTTATTTCCTGCCAGGTTTGGAACATTCTTTAAACTGGGCTTTCTCACTCTACTGTCCCCGTTAGCAAATTAGCTATTTTTTTCCTTGAGTATTAGATAATTCGAGAACTATTTTTCTACATACTGTTATTGCTTAACATTTAGTTGTTTTTCTTTTTACTATAAAAAGAATACATGTGTAGACTTAGTTCACATGAAACTACACTAATTGCTATCTTTTTAAATTTCTGAACAATCATTCAATTTATAGTGTAAGAGTATAGGATCTTGAACCAGAATGTGGGGTTTCATTTATTCTGTATGCTTCTAGTTGTATGGCTTTGGATAAATTACCTAATTTCTTGTTCCTTCATTTCCTTAGCTATAAAATGGAGATAATAATAGAATTTATTCATAGGGTAGAGAGTTAATTAAAGAGTTAATAGAAGCACTTATAACAATGTTTGACCTATAAAAATACTTAAGAGAAGTTCAAGTTTATAATCATTATCATCATTATCTCTGAAGTACAGTTCTGTGATAAAAGTTACAGAACAAAAATATCTTAATTTTTCATAAACTGGAACAAGTATCAAAAGCAATTTAACTTGGTTTCATACCAAATCAATCAGTTTCATTAGGTAATAAATATTTCATCCTAAGTATTTTAAAAACAACTGAACAAACAGGTCTATCCAAAACAAAAGGTTGTATTTTCTTTTTGTAAGACAAAGGAATTTTCAATTTTGGGGCTGAACATTTAAAAAATCAACTTTATTTAGGTGTAAAAATGCTTAAAATAAAATGTACTTGTCTAAAGTGTACACAGGTGGAACCTCTACTACTATAAAGATACTGAACATTTCCATCATACCAAAAGTCTTAAATCCCTTAACAGTCAGCCCTTGCCTTACCGCCAGCTCAGCAATCGCAGATTTACCCTAGACTGTGGTTCTTTGAGTGTGATCAAGGGGATCTGAGAGGTCTAAATTATTTGCATAATAAAACTAGAAGGCTACTTGCTCCTTTCATTTTCATTCTCTCTTGAGTGTAGAGTGGAGCTTTCCATAGACTGGCCACCTATATGTTATCAATAATACGTATTATAGCACTAAATACTATAAGTTGTAATGCATGATATATAACACATCTATTAGGGCAGATATAATTTGCAAAAATGCAAAACGTTACTGCTTATACCATAATAGCTTTGTTTTGAAAATTAAAAGAAAACATGTTATTTATATTAATGTGATAGATTGATATTTTTCAATTGAATTAACATAAAATTTTATTTTAATTTCTAGTAAGATTAATATCAATACATCTAATGCACAAAATAAAAGGCCTTGAAGGTCTTTAACATGCAGTATGAAAAAATCTGAGAATATAATGTTGTACGAGGTGATGTTCTTTCTAATTTTAAAATACTATGATTCCATTAATTATCTGAAAGCTAACTGAATTTAACCAACTATTCATTTTTAACAATGAAATAGTGGTCTAACTGTGCTAATATATCTCTTATCACCTTCTAAAACATGTGTAACCCATTTTGTTTACTTAAAGAGAAAAGCTAAATAGTTACAACTTTCTCTTGAAAGTGGTTATGCCATGTAATCTTTTGTTGTCTGAGACTACTTAGCTTAATGCATGGCTATTAAAAATCTCTTCAATAGTAGAAAAAATATCATTACCTTTTGCCAAATACAGAAACTTTTCTTTCAGATGTTGGTTTGTTTATATTCAGCTTTCCAAAGGAGGGTTTCTCTTTGCTTTAAGAAAAGGAAAAATACACTTAAATAAACATAGTACTAGTTAAAAAAACTTTGAAAGTGTGAGAACCAACACCTCTTCCCCATTACCTATAAAAATAACTCAGGACTATGAAAATTTTAGCAGCAATCATATTATAGCTATTATAGTTTAAATTATAATTCTAAAATATTAAGAAGCAGAACAAAAACATACCTACATTATGATTGCAATTATTTTAAAATGTGTACATTTATAGGTAATGACTGTAAAGAAAAGGGTAAAAATATAAACATTTCAAATTTCTAGAAAAAGCAAAGGCTCACAGTATGCAAAAGTAATTTAAGAACATCTAGTAATTACTTTGTACCTTGGTATTAAAAGTGACAAAGAATAGAAATAGTCTTCCTTTAACTGGAAGAAGATCACTTGTAAGAAAAAGATAGTTTATGATGCAGTGTTTGGATACCTTTTCCCAGTGAATCTTGAGGAAATATTTTAGGGAAGTACTCTACAGGTTTCTTCTAAATTGTAGCTTATTGTCAGAACAAATATCTTTTATAAAATTTTGCTAGTTGGAAGCACCTTAATAATTAAAAGTTATAGCATAGAATCTGCTCAAGATAAAAGAGGAAATTAAGAGTGCTGAAGGGGACATAATAGCCATTCCTGGGAGAGGCATTTGAGAATTTGCCTTGAAGAACACGCCTAATTTTGAATTTTAGTGACCCAAATTTAGTTACCACTAGGAACAGAGAAGATTAATCATGTCACCAAATCATGTCACCACTTATACTACATCTTTGTATTAAGCATCTTTACAGATTTCTTTGCCTAAGGTGGTAAGGCATGAGGTACTTACTTTTGAGGGGTATAGAGGCACTGTTTATTGAGGTCCTGCGATCTCAACTCTTGCATAGAGAGGCGACCGGCACCACCAGTGGAAACTGAACTGCGCTTCATGCTTATGGCCTACATACATGAATACAGTATTTAAAAAATTCTTTTCAGACATAAATGAAATATTAAGCACCAACTAGTATCTTTCTTCTGAAACAGAAAAGACAGTCTCAGGACAATCTTTCCCCAGGCTATCTTTGTCAGGTTAGGAGGTAGCCTCTACTTGCAAAGAATATCTGTTTAACTTAATTTAAAAACATTTAACACACATAAACAAAGACCTACCATGTACAAGTGAGTGTGCAAGGGAATGCAAATGATACAAAGATGAAGAAAGTATGATTTTTGCAATCACATGGGTGTCTTGTGATAAAGCCCTGATTACTAAATCAGACATCACAGCTGGTGGCAGTGTTTATTTCAATGGTAAGTGAGAGGCTGCCTGCCAAGAACCATCTCCGGATATTTCCTCTTTTTTGGCCTCTGGAAATGGAGCTATTCTATTTTCTTTTCTTAATGGCCCTCTCACCTGCTCTCCCCTTAACCTACATTTTCCCATTTATATTTTTCAGTTGTTGCTGCTCGTACTTCAACCTGCTCAACAAGAATAAACAATCTGGTCCATAAAAGGGTCTACAGACTGCAACCATTTTTCTCAGATCACATTAACGTCTCATTTCCTACAAATCTACTGACACCCTAACCTCCTAAGGTACTCATGATCCTATCTAATCTCTATGACGTCAAACACTGTACCCACTCTTTTCAGACACTTGATGTGGCTACCAGAAAAGATGCTATTTGTTATTTTTTTACTTCGCTGGGATCGCCTTAGTTGTAAAAACTGATTAGACTCTTGCTAATTTTTGCCGCCTTACGTGCTTATACATCTATTCCTTACATGCTTATACATCTATTCCGTTTTCCCATTAGTTCACTCCCAATCTCCGCACAAGATGTATACAATTAATGTTCTTGATGTACCTCTGACCATGGCAACAGAGTGTTACATGTCAACATCTTAAACGCAAAACACGAAATAGTTCCTCAAGTGTCCTTCTTATCTCCGTTCCCACTTTGTCTTTCCCATTTCCTTGCTCCAGGCGTTGTTCTCCCCAGCGGTTTCCATAGACCTTTACTTCGCTTTTGGAACTCAGTAAAAAAGTACTAGACCCTGGCAAACGAGCGCCTCGCACAGACTCTACCCACAGGCCTCTTTAAGATCTATAAACCTATGCTGTTGGCGCCATAGCCTTTTCCCTCCAGAACAGTACTAACGGCACAAAATCAACTCAAAGTCATTCCTTACCCTTCTTTTAATTTCCTGGCACAACGCAAGGACCGAATTTCTGCAGCCCTGTAACTGCGCGTTAGACAGAACAGCCGCCAAAACACCAATTCCTTCTTCCACCGGTCTGCGCCGTTCGAATTTTAAACTCTCCGCCGCTGATGACATTATCGCGCACGACGTGCACGCACGTGCGTAATTCTCACGCGCCACTCCTCGCCGGAACTAGCGTCTTGTTCGCGCTGCGCGACATAGCAGGTCACACTGGCGTATCCCGGCGTAAGTGTCCCCTGCGAGCTCCGATCCGATCTCTAAGTTTAACTCTTAAGACCCGAGTGCTACGAGCTGCAGAGTAGCTGCGGAGTATTCCTGGAGACGTCTTTTCCGTACAACAATATGGCCGCTCCCTTGGTTCAGGAAAGCCTCCTTACCCGCCTCCATCCCCCCATCCCCTTACTCTCGAAAGAGCATTTTAATGACCACTCTCTAGACTGATGCAAGTCTGGAAAGGCGGGATGCACTTTCCTGACAAGGCAAGCGGTGAGATAGGAGATAGTGATTGGTGAGCGTGGGTACTCCAGGCTTGGGAAGGCTCAGAATTTGCTCGTTGGGATGTCTTGGTCCTCTAGTGGTGGTAAGCGAGAAGCGAGACGGAATCCTGATGGCCGGAGGGTCGAGGCGTAGGCAGGTGTGAAGCCGAGAAGTGGGAGTGAGTTGAAGAGGTGCCTCTAGCACTGTAGATTGCTTTGTTAAAAAAGGAATTCCCTCTTTCTTAGGTTTGAATTCTGATGCAAACAGCTTAGAGAAGAGCTTGGACCTCAAGTTGGAATATCGGTGCTTTATGGCAGTCGTGCTGTTAAAACGAGAGTTGTAGTTTTGGACAAGTCAACAGAGATCAGGAATTTTAACCTTGCAGTTTTGCTCAGATTTAGTGCTTCTGATGTGCTATTAAGATTGCTTTTCTCTCTGGCTAGTCACTCTTTTTCACTCTTTCTTTTTGCACTCCATTGGTAACATTGATTATGTAGGGCTATGATAATTGATTATGTAGGGCTATGATAACGGAAGACTGATTTATTTTTACAAATGTAGTTTGAAAAAACAGGAGTTCACTTGCAAATAGCTCTCAATAATATTGACTTTAAAAAAAAATCTCATTAAAAGAATGAATTCATACAGATAATGTAGCATTCTTTACGTTCATAGAATTCTCTCACCTTTTAAGTATTTACTGTCCTAACTTGGGGAATACACTTTGTAGTTACGTCCAGGGACCAAGCAGAAGTTGAGTGGAGGTCCAAAGAAAATAGGGATTCCAGAAATAAGAAGTGATAAGCCTTTTTGGCCATATTGACTGGAAAAAAAAATGAATTCTCAGGGTTGAATAATCCACCCTGGAAATTGAGAATTCATATTAAAACATTACAGTTTTGCTTAGTCCTGTATAATAACATCTTTAATGTTAAAGTCTCTTTTGTGTACATGTCAGGTTTATGTTTGCACATCAAATTTGCCTGTGAATATAGTTTGATTGAAATTTTTACTTCTTGTTTATAATTTCCAGAGTTTTTTTTTTTTTTTTAAAGGAAGAGAATGTCTGTGGTGCATCAGCTGTCACCAGGATGGTTACTGGATCATCTTTCTTTCATAAACAAGAGTATCTATCAACTTCACCAGCTTTGTGAACCTTGTTGCTGTAAAAATGAGCCCATTTCTGTCCACCTTGATTCTCAACACATGAGTTCTGTATCCTCTTTTGGAGCTTCTACTACTTTTATCACTTCTGATTCCACCACAAAAGCACAGAGTGATGATGGAGGAAATTGTGAAAAATTCATTCAGAAATATGTTTTTCGATCTGAACTGTTTGCTATCACTAAACCTTATCTAACTTCAGCTGCTGACAAAGAATGTCAGCAGAGTACTGAAAAAGAAGATCTAATGGATGGTGTTAAAAAAGAAATTTCCAGTTCCACAATTCGGAAGGTAGAAAGTTTAAGAAATATTTATATTTTTATAAAAATACATAAATTATTCTAATATCTCAATATCTTGTGATTATTAAGTATAAAGAGTTAGTAAAGCATAAGAAAGCTTTAGTTTATCCAGAGTAATTTGTAACTCTTTCCTAACATTCTACCATGCTTCTAGACCAAATTTCTGCTTAGGCTTTTGTATTAATTTGCATGTTATCTTCACTTGTTTCAGCTCAAAAACTTGGCACCTGTCTCTGCAAGAAACTAAAGCAGTATATGCATTTTGGGAGCTTTTTAGAGACCTCTCCTTTGGGAATAAGCTTTCACGATAAAAGTTTGAAAGACGGTTGATATTTATTAGAGAGTCCTAGTGATAAAAGTAGAAAGCTAAGTGGAAACTGTTCTTAAAGTATATATGTGTACACACTGTTGTAGTCTTTCAATAAAGTTTTGAGAATGCCATATAGTATCAAATTAATTATGGTTAAATATAGTTTATGTCTTTGAAGAGTTCAGAGGTGATTTAACAAAGTCCACTTCAGATAGATTATATTAAATTTTTCTTTGTTAGAGTTGGAATAATATTAACTACTTAACAAATGCTTTGGATCTTTCTGTATACATAGAGTAATGAGTAAGGGAATAAGATGAGTGCAATCCCTGCCCTCGTAGATCTTCCAGTTGAGTAGGGAAAAAAGACATAAGTAAGAGAGTATGTTGAGAATCAGAATAAAGAAAGTGCTGAAGATAATTTAGTATACTGTTGTATGTACCTGAAGTAGATCTTATAATATTCTCATGATATCTTGTACATATCTTTCTTTTTTCCTTTCAGCAAATATGTATCAATCATCTGCTTTGTGTGTCAAGCACAGAAAAGAAAATAAATTTGTAGTTTCTGAGCCCTTAGTAAAAATAGTAAATAGGTGATTTTTAATTATTATAATTCAGAAAAATAACAAACATTTGTAAGAGGAGTATGGAATTAACTTTTAATGTTTTGACCCTAATGTGGGTAAATGTCTCATTTTAGTATGGAAAAGTGTAGATGAATGAATGTTATCGTGAGTAAACATATTTATATTTTTAATATGTTAAAGCAAATTGTACACTTAGCTTAAAAGTGAGTCCCTTATTTAGTCAACAAACATTATTAATCTGCTAGGAATTTACTATCATATAAGCACAGGGGTGTTGGCAATGAAAAGTACAAAAATCCCTGCATTCACTGCACTGTCTTACATGTTCTTTCTATGGAGTTGTTAGGCATATAGCAGTGTTAATAAATCTGTTTGTGCCTAACCTTCAGATCAATTGTAATGAGCTATAAGCACATGGGATTTTATTTTTTTGATGATGGTGTATTGATAGTTATCAAAAATGCAAGTTTGGAATATTTATAGCATCTATCTCAGCTGATAAAGTGCAACATTGTGTTCTTATACAATGTTTTTATAATTCTGTTTTCATGCAGCTCAACAGTTGTGTTCTACAGGTGTCAGTACCAGATCTTACTAGGAGCAGATAAGATTGATGTGACTTAGCACCCATTAACTTGATAGTTATAGTAGGGAAATAATTATTTGTTTGCTTGACTTCCATAGTTAATTATTTCTTCTTAAAGGCTAAGACTGTTGCAGGAAGTATGAAAAGTGTGATAAAGAGAAATATTATATTTAAAAATACCAGTGTTATAGTAGTTTGAAATGTAATTCAAACATTTTCTCCCTGGAATTACTCTTTAGAAGCGTAAAAGATGTGCTGTTTTCAATCAAGGTGAATTGGATGCTATGGAATATCATACAAAGGTAAGATGTAAAATGTTTATTGATGACACTGGAAGATTGTGAGTTGTGTAGATAAATGGACACCATAATTTGATGATTCTTTAAAGTCAAACAATCATTTTGATCAAGGTTAGAATTTAATAGAGTGCTTGTTTTTTTTTATAATACTGAGTCATTTTTAAAAACTAATTTTATTAAGACTTCATAATTGTTTATTAATTTTATATATTTAACAAGAGTAGACATTAAGTTTGGAATTTTTATAATTTATGAAAGCTTATTGTACACAGATAAAACAATTTATTAAAATAGTAGCAGAAGAAAGCCTGAGTAATGTGATGGATTTATTTTTAGAACAAAGAAATAAAGAAAATTTAGGAGTCAAGAAAATGAGGGGGATGAAGAATAATGTAAAAAATGTATTTATAAAATTAAAAAATTAGTTGTGTAATAGCCTAAGAAAAGGAAAATGAGAGGAACTGAAGGAAGTATTAAAATGGGAAAATTGGGATTGGAATTTGGCTTAGGAGGGATAATAGTACAACTTTGATTATGTTGCAAGATTAAACTGCAGAAATATGCAAAAATACAGGGTCTGCTATACAGTTAAGATTAGTAATTTTACTTTGATATTAAATGAAATTAGGGGATAGAGTTGCTTGAGTTTGTATATATTCAATTTGCTAAATACTTGGGACTGTTAATGATTACTATAAATTATAAAACATTTTGTTTGTACACTGTGGAATGCAAAAGAGTGGTTAGAGATGAAGCTGGGAAGATAGGATTTAACAGATTATATAAACATTTATAGACATGAAAGCCCTTCTGACAATTCTAAGGGTAGTCAGAAACTATTGAAAGTGGTTGAATTGATCAAATTTGCTTTTTATTCTAGCTTATTAATACTTGGATAGTTAATACATTAATATTGTAAGGATTAACATGCACAAAAAGTATTATGAAATCTTTCTCTAATTTCTGTCTCTGTCACCTCTTCCTCTTTTCCTATGTTTCTACTGGTGATTTTCGTATACAAATATTAAAGTTCCTCTGTTTTCATATTTCATACTTTTGCAACTTGCTTTTTCCCCTTCAAATTAACATAGCTTACAATTTGTTTTATTGTCCTTTTTTAAAATATAACATGGAATTTATTGGTTTATGTACATAGTCTTTAATTGCTGACATTTAACTGTATTATGCATAAGCCATTTCTGTGTGTATATGTGTATCTGCAGGAAATTGAATTACTCGGTTGAGGGTTTGAACATTTTGGTAGATAATGCCACATTGCTACTATAGAGGTTGTATCATTTTATTAAGATGCCCAAAATTTATAATTTTGTCTCCCCATACATACTGACATGGTAGTTATCATTTTTGATCTTTGTTAATCTGGTAGATGAAAAATAGTATTTCAATATAGGTTTCATTTGAATGTCTCTTATGAAAGAGTAAACATTTTTACAAGTTTAAAAACCATTTGTATTTTTTTTTATGTCAACAGTTGTTTTTACACACTTAAAAATTGGACTGTTTGCTTATTGATTTATGGATCTTGTAAGAGCTTTTTGTATGTGAGGGAAATTAGCTCTTTGTTTTTGATAAATAGCAAATGTATTTTCCCAAGTTTGTCATTTTAACTTTCTTTTCTTGTTATTATGTCATACAGAAAATATTATGTTTTATTTTTTATTAGTTACTTACTGTAATTTTGGGATTACATTTTTACTTCTTAAGTTGTGCACATGGTCCATTTACCCTCCGCTAAGTCTCCCATGACAGTTCCCGTTCTAAAACTTCCCTCCCACAGCTCCTCTCCCATCAACCCTGTTCACTTTGGTAACTAGTACTAGATTTGTTCTCACTGCATTTTGCCATGTATGTCTTTCTTAAAGGTACATTATATTCTTACACATCTTTTCATTTTAGTATAAAAAAATTCTACTGTAAGCATTAAGCATTTTATTTCAGTTTCTGAGTTTAAATATTCAAAACATCATTGGGATTTTTCATTTAGAAAATTGCTTTCATGTCTGTGATATTTTAATATACTTAAAAAATTCTCTTACAGATCAGGAGACTGATTTTGGATGGTTCTTCACAATTAATCCAAGAAGGTCTCAAAAGTGGCTTTCTTCATCCACTTTCTGAAAAACGGGACAAGTGCAGTGAGCCCGTTACTTTACCTCTTGATACCTGCAATTTGTCAGAGTTATGTGAAATGGCAAAGCATTTGCCTTCTCTGAATGAAATGGAACTTCAGACATTGCAATTGATGGAAGATGATATATCTGATATAGAGCAGGATTTATTCTCGCGGGTTGTTGAAAACAACTCCAACTTTACAAAACTGATTACTCTAATGGGACAGAAGTACTTACTGCCACCAAAAGCCAGTTTTCTTTTGTCTGATATTTCTTGTATGCACCCTCTTCTGAGTTGTAAGTAATTGTTATATATATACTATTAGAAAAATAGCTTTTCTATGGCCTCAAAAGTTAAGAGCTAATCTGATGTTAAATGAAGGTCAATATTTTATGAAGACAAGGAGGACACTTAATTTTCTTAATGTAATTTTTCTTTTAATATTTAATTTCAAAATGCTAGCTTTTTAAAAAAATAATATCATAGTTTATTTTTACATCATTTTGTGCATTTTTCCATCTCAGTTGTAATCCCCATGGAAACTTTTGCTTTTTGAAAAATTTGACTTTTTTAAATTATGGAAAACGGTTAAAACTAGTCTCCAAAAGAGTAAATACAGTTACTGTTGTGTACTTAGAGATTCGGGATGCAATTAGTTTTGACTAAATAGCAATACTTTCTTCATAGAAAGTAGGACCATTTCATGTATGAATATTAATTCCCAAATAATTCTAGCCTTTTAGACTAGTTAAAATATTCAAGTTTGTCATATAAAATTTGTTGAACTACTTTCTTATATGAAATTATCTTTTTTTTTTCTTTAAAGATTTATTTATTTATTCATACAGAACTGGGGTACAGGCCAGAGATGTGGAGGGTGAGAGGATTCACCAGAGACAGAGAAGGGACCAGAACAGACAGAACAATGAAGTACACTGCTGAGGGGAGCAGCAGGCGGGTCAGGAGAGGTCTGCCACGCCCTGTGGATCTCCTCGGGGCAGGCGGGAATCGAACTCATGCGGAAGTGGATTTAGCTTCTCAGTGCTGTGCTTTAACCTGCTGCGCCACCAGGGAGGGCCTAAAATTATCATTTGAAGATATTGAATTCCACAGTCACACAGACCTGAATTTGACTTTCAGTTCTGACGCTTAATTTTGAGACTAGGTTATGCACTTCACAAAAGTGAGTCTTATTTTCCAGGCTAGAAGGTGGCTATGCTTCTGAAGACCATTTTGAGGATCAAATGAGATAATTTGCAAAGGGTGCTCAGCTTAGTGATTTATGTATTTTTAAAAAGCTGTAACTACTATAATACTCTTTGGGATGAGGAATTTAGGAGGTATTGATGAAGTTTAATTTGTATACTTATTGTTATTTGGACATTTTTACAGCAGCATTTTAAGTTATTAAATTAGTAGTATTTCTTATTAGTGAAAAAGTTCTGTTTTTGCTGTTAGCCCATTCTACAGTGTCATAAATTCTTCTTGGTAAATGACAGAATAACATGTTATTGTGTAAATCATGCTATATCCTAACATATTACTCTTAAGTTTTGATTACCTATGAGATTGTACATTTATAAAAATATACCTATGTCTGTAAACAGAGGAAAGAGGTAGGTCTTCCTTACAATAAAATTCTGATTAATAAAGGTAGGTAGAATGATGGTCCTACAAGATTTTCCTTTATCAATACCACACTAACTGTAATTAATGTTAAATTAGTGGGTGAAAGGATTAAAGACAATAATTGCACAGTCTTAAAATCTGCCCCCATAAGGTACTAATTACAACGCAAAAACTGTTGAATCCTGACAGATAACACTTTAACCAAGCGATCAAAATTAGTAATCAGTACAATGTGACATTTGATGTCCTGTACTTTCTAATGTATTGCTATAAGAGCATGGCACTACTTATGTGGTTCCAGAAATAAATAATCCAAATATAATTATGAAGCAATACCACACCCAAGTAGAGGGTCATTCATAAATGTCAAAAGAATGGCGAAGAATTTATCCAGAGTAGAGAAGATTTAGGAGACAAGGCAACTAAATACAATGTATAATCCTGATTTGGATATTAGGGCAGTAATAGACAGCTGAAGAAATTTTGTCATGGTCAATATATCAGTTATAAGACTGAAATTAATTAAAAGAAAATACCAAGCCAAGAAGCCTACAAAACCCATGTAAGTTTGAAGGGACCATATTCATATGACTGCCAAGACTTTAGGGCATTTACCACTCTCTGGTGGCCTTTTCATTAACTGTGGCAGTCTCTGCAAAAATAGGTGAAATTATATTCAAGTCCCAGAGGTTATTAGAGTAACTCTTAATTATTAGAGTAAGCTTTTAATTTGTTTTGATAAATTATTTGAATAAGTACCACAAATCCTTTTGTGACATTCCATTATATTCCATTTGTGTCTGTAGTGAGTGTATTTCAGTTTTGAAAAACATGTTAGGTTTTTAAAGTGATCACATATAGAAGAATTTACTGAAATTGTTTCTTTTTTCTTTTTTTTTCAGGTAAAAAAATGTATGATGTAATTGTGATAGATCCACCATGGCAGAACAAATCAGTTAAAAGGAGCAATAGGTAAGTGCCTATCCATTAGATTTTTTTTTTAAAGATTTATTTATTTATGCATACAGAACTGGGGTACAGGCTAGAGGTGCAGGGGTTGGAGTGGGTGAGAGGTTTCACCAGAGACAGAGTAGGGAGCAGAACAGGCAGATCTACTGACATACACTGCTGAGGGGAGCAGCAGGCAAGACAGGAGAGGTCTGCTGTGCCATGTGGGTCACCTCCCTGGCCAGGAATTTGTGCTGCGCCTGCTTCAGATAGTTTCATAGTGTGGTGTTTTAACCCGTTGTACCACAAGGGTGGGCCCAGATTTGCTTTTTTTTTTTTAAAGATTTATTTATTTATGCATACAGAGCTGGGATATAGGCCAGAGGTGCAGGGGTGGTGAGAGGATTCACCAGAGACAGAGTGGGGAACAGAACAGGCCGACTGACGAAGTACACTGCTGAGGGGAGCAGTGTGCGGGTCAGGAGAGGTCTGCCTAGCCATGTGGATCACCTCTAGGGCGGGGATCGAACTCATGCTGAAGAGGCTTTAGCTTCTTAGTGCTGTGCTTTAACCCGCTGTGCCTCTAGGGAGGGCCCAGATTTGCTTGCTTAAAGTAATTTTTCTTTTATTTTCCTGTTACATATTTTGAAAGACCACTTTACAGTTTAGTTTGTCTGAAACTACTAAAACACTTTTATTTTAAAATTTTAATTCCCTCAGTTCATTTGAACTAGCAATAATCAGATGTAAGAAAGGCAAAATTAATATATTTATTAATGACCAAGATTACTGACTGAACCAGTTCATGAACTTTTCCGGTAACACAAAGGATGTAACTTTTGGACCTTTCTTTTATAACAAATGCTAAAGGTTAAAATATGTGCCCAAATAATTTTTCTTAATAATCTGTTTATGGACTTCTCTAACACATGCTTAAATGTTGGAATTCTTGTCAGCATGAGCCAATGAAATCAGGCAGCCTCTGGAAGCTGGAAGAGACAGAGAAACAGGTTTTCCTCTGTAGCTTCTGAAAGGGAATGCAGTCCTGCTCACACCTTGATTTTAACCTCGTGAGACCCCTGTCTGACCTCTTACAGAATTGTCAGATAATAAAGTTATGTTGTTTAAGCTACCAAGTATGAGGTGATTTGTTATAATGGCAGTAGTAAATGAATATGGCATCAATAGCTGATTTTGCCTAAATTAGTTATTGTGGGGATTGCCAAATGGTGACTGTATAATACCATCTTTTAAATGCTCTACTGTAAGAAAGAGTTGTAGAAATTTTGAACCATATTTCATGGGTTTGATAAGTACATTGATGTTTTATTAACCATGTCATAATCTTTAGCTGTGAAAATAATTAGTAAATTTAAAGGGAGAGCAGGATTCGGGATGAATAGGTTTGATTGTGAATTCAAAGGTTAGGGTAGGTTACGGGGTAATAAAGATGAAGAGAGTCTGTGTATGAATCCTGTGTAAGAATCCTGTATGACAGTTGACTGTAAATTTCTTTTACCTCTCTGAGTCATTCTTGTGAGTGCTACTGGAATTCTGGATTCCTTTAGACAAATGTGCTGACTTTCTGATGTTTCATAAATTTTCACTCTCTTGATGTTTTGTATTTTAGTCACAAGGATGAATGGCCTATTTTATTGGGTTGTGAATATTAAATTATAAGCTTCTTGAAAGAAGGATGCTGTTATATACTTTTAAATCAAGATAAAATTCACCATTTTAACAACTTTAAAGTATACAGTTCATTGATTTAATGTATTAACAATGTTGTACAAATATAATTGTGCCTAATTTTAGACTATTTCCATTATCCCATAGAGAATCTCCATACTTTTCAGTTATCTCCTTTGCCTGTTTCCTGGCAACCACTAATCTACTTTCTGTTTCTGTGAACTTGTCTTTTGTGGACATTTCATATAAATGAAATAATACAGTATGTGATCTTTGTGACAGGCTTATTTCATTTGACACATGTTTTCAAGGTTATATATAGTATATATCAGTACTCCATTCCTTTTTATGACTAATGAAATTCCATTGTACATGTATGTATACACACACACCACATTAATTTATGCATTAAATTGTTAAACTTTTCTGTGAGTACATATATTCAAGAATTTGGTTTTGTTCAAAGAGTAGTCTGACCTTTGCTTTCAAATTCTAGGAGGTGATCTCTGTCATACCTGATAGAATTGTCCTTATTTACTGTGTGCAGTAGAGGGGATTTCGTGAGGAGATCGGGAGACTGACTATATCAACAATCTTAGGGTGGAGACTGGCTGCACCAGAAAGAACAACCATATTATTTAGGGTGGTGGAGACTTTTTTTTTCCAAATAAAGTTTTATTGCTTTACTACTGATTTTAATACTGTGTAAAATTAGAGGGCACCTTTTCACCTCTGTGCATATAAGCCTCATTTCCCATGAGATGGGGGCTTTGAATCACAATACTATCTGTCCACCTGGAGACTGAGTTTAACCACATAGGCAGTCAGTCACTTACCAGGCCTACATCATGAAACTCCAATAAGGACTCTGGATGTGGAAGCTCATATTAGTACACATTGTGGCCAGGAGAGTAACATGTTCTGACTTCATGGGAAGGACAGTGGAAACTGTTTGAAATCCTTTCCTTTGACTTATTTTAATCTGTAATAAATCCTAATAACATTTACATAAGAAATGGTAACAAATCTTTCCTTGTGATAAACTGTACCTATGAGTATACCAGAATGTTACAGTGGGTTGAGAGTTATAGCCCGAAATCAGCAATAGGGGAGTTGAAACAATATTGACATCTTCTCTCCCTGTGGTGTGTGTAGGGTGTTGGAAAATGGACCACATCCATTTGAGTGGGCATTATGGAGGAAATAGTATTCTAGCAAGAGAAACTATATACTGTGGATGACCAGGAGTGCCAGAACATATTGTGTGTGTGTGTGCACGTGTGTGTGTGCATGAGGGTTTCGGACAGTCCACTGGAATTAATTGGGAAGAAAGAATAAAGCAGAATAATAGGTTTAAAGTTAAACATATTGTGGGATACCGAAACATTAGTTTTAAGATGTGTAATGTACAGACTATAAGAAGAAAAAACTAATTTTTGAATAAGAAGAATGAATATCACAAGTATTAGTAAAATTACTGAAATGAAATACCTTTAGAAGTGATAAAAGAAATTATAGCTTGACAATTTTAAATCAGTAAAAATGTTATTTAGGACGTGCATATTATTACATGTCCACTGGGTGTCACTATGACTTCATGTTTAGTAATACAAATAAATAGGTCTGGTGCTTTTAGTTTGTGGAGTCAGTGTTATGCAGGTCTGTTCCCTGATTATGTTTCTCTTTTGTAGTGAATTTTGCTAAGTTTTGTGTGTGTGTGTGTTTTAGGTATAGTTATTTATCACCACTGCAAATAAAACAACTGCCTGTCCCTACACTTGCTGCTCCAAACTGTCTTATTGTTACTTGGGTAACCAATAAGCAGAAGATCCTACGTTTTGTAAAGGAAGAACTTTATCCTTCTTGGTCTGTGGACATTGTTGCTGAGTGGCACTGGGTAAAAGTAAGTTCAAGAGTTAACTGCTTTATTAATCTAATATGACATGTAAGTACTATGTACTTCTCAGTATTTGACACAGCACTGCTCCTATAGTCTAAGTAAAAGTTTTACTTTACTCCTAAATATTTTTATCTTCTTATTCTCAGGTATTTTTACCTGTCCTGTGTCTTTGTACTAGAGTCCTAAACTTAGGAAATCATTCCTTGATTTTCTTTGAAAATCATTCAGAAAGATACCAGGATGACATTATTTATTTTTTTAGTGGATTGCAATTGTTTTTTTATTTAATTGATTAATTTGTAGTCGAGGTGATACTTGGATTAGGTATTAGCACTGTAGTGCACCCACCACCAACTTACCCATAGGCCACCACCAATGCATTTCCTTCCCACTTTGTTCTTTCCCCTTCCCTTCTTCCTCCTCTCCTTGGTGTTTCAGTTCTTATAGTCAGCTGTCAAGGGTTAGTTTTTAAGCTAGTCTTTACCTGACTCTTAGTTTAGCTTCTTTATATCCCACATATTAATGACATCATCATCAAAGCTCTAATGTCTTTTTAAAAAACAACTCAAACTCTGGGGGAATCTCTCCATCACTGATTATAGAAATAGCTTTATCCTTCATCTGCCTCCTCTTTACAAATCCTCCATTTCAGTCATTCTTTGTTACTTTTTTCACCACACAAAAAATGTTGTAATTATGTGAGGCCATGGATGTTTACTGGCAATCATTTCATAGCATATACTTCAATCATTATATTGTACAATTTGGACTAATGTTACATATTAGTTATATCTCAATAAAATTTGGGGAGAAAAGAATGAGAATTTGTCAAGGATTCTTAAATAACAGGTATGAATATTCTGACACTGAAAAAATATATCCCCATAGTTAATGAATGAATTGATATTGTGAATTGTTTTTGATTTTGACTAGCTAGTGAGACTTTGAAAGTCTGATCACCCCAGAGTGAAATGATATAATTGAATTCCTGGGTTTATAATGCTAAGAGACTAGACCAAATATTGTCTCTCTTATCATTTGTCACCTTCTCTCATTAATTCTAGTTTGACAGTACTTATTGCCACTATTTTCCTGTAAGTTAAAAGAAAATACTTTTATCATCATATGCTTAGTCATGTTGATAATAATCAGTAAGTATTAGGTGAATTAATGGATTAATGAAGGCATGACTTCCATGAATAAATTTTAGTAGGGATTTTTATGTGCAAAATGATAAACATGATATTTAAAGTATTTTTTAATACCTTAGTGTTACACTGCCCAATATAATAGTGACTAACCAAATGAAACTCTTCAGCACATGAAATGTGCCTAGACTATATTAAGCTATGGTATGCATCAAATTTTAGAGACTTAGTAGGAAAAATGAAAGGAACATACCTCAGTAGTTTTTTGAATGGATCAAACATTGAAATGATAATATTTTAGACATATTAAATTAAATATATAGTTAAAATTACTTTTACTACATTAAAAAAATTTTTTTTAAAGATTTATTTATTTGTGTATACAGAACTGGGGTACAGGCCAGAGGCTCAGGGGCAACGAGAGGCTTCACCAGAGACAGAGTGGGGAGCAGAACAGGCAGATCGATGAAGTACATTGCTGAGGGGAGCAGCGGGCGGGTCAGGAGAGGTCTGCTGCGCCATGTGGTCACCTCTGGGGCAGGCGGGAATCGAACTCATGAGGAAGGGGCTTTAGATTCTCAGTGCTGTGCTTTAACCCGCTGCACCACCAGGGAGGGCCACATTTTAATTTTTTAATGTTGCTACAAGGGAATTTCCACTACATATGTGGCTTGCATTCTGCTTTTTTCGGACAATACTAACTTAGAGGTTTAGTAGCTTCTTTTTCCTTGGTAGAAATAACATAGACTGTTTAGGGATGGGGGGAAAACCCTTTTCTAGATATTTACAGATGTGTGGTTTTATTTTTTTTAACTTAAAAAAAAAAACTCTTTCTTGTCAGATTACCAGTTCAGGAGAGTTTGTGTTTCCACTAGATTCTCCACACAAAAAGCCATATGAAGTTCTTATACTGGGGAGAGTTCGAGAAAAAACTGATTTATCATTAAGGTAGGGAAGGTAATTTTTCTAAATTTGTGTAAGGGTAATAGTTTTTTAGCTTTTATTTTAGACCAATAAAATAATCATTGGCTTGCCTTAATTTTTACATTTTGAAAATCTGAAAATGAACCAGAGCAGAAAGGTGTGAATGGTATATATTACTACAATTTTATTTTATCTTTTGTTTATCTAGCATGCAGTGATTATTGGTTATTATTGTAGAAAAAGTTATAAATATGCTTTAATAATTAAAATTATTGGTTTCCTTTATTATTTCTAGTTTTAAAATTTATTTTACATTCACATAACATTTGAAAGGTGAAAAAAAATCAGGGTAACTGTGATCTTTATATATATAAAAATTGTCATTTAGACTATTATTTACTTTGTTCTGTTTTAATTAGGAATGCAGATGTAAAAGTGCTCCCCATTCCAGACCACAAGTTAATTGTCAGTGTGCCCTGCACTCTTCACTCACATAAGCCACCTCTTGCTGGTATGTGTTATACAATAGAATTGTAAATAAATAAAATAGAATGAATTATTCTATTCATTAAAATAAAACAGAATTATGTCTTCTGTGAGATTTAAAAAAGGATTTAGTATCTGAATGTGCTAAGGATTTGGAAATTAAATCAGATATGTGTTTTTTTTAATTAATGTTCTAAAATTTTACAGCAAAATTTATGAAACAGAATAATTTTAGATACCTCAGTCTTATTTTAATAATTAAAATTGTTTAATTCTTTTTAATTAAAATAACTTTTTCTTTGTTGAAGAACTGGATGTAGACCAGGCAGGGGATGAGAAGACTTATCAGAGACAAAATGAGGAACAGAACAGTTGGATTTACTGAAATACACTGCTAAGGGGAGTGTGGGTAAGACTGGAGGGGGCTGCTATGCCATGTGGGCCAGCTCCTTGGTAAGGGACTGAATGGAGGCCATAGCATGATAGTGCTGAGTTTTGACCCTAGGCCACCAGGGAGGCTCCCTCAGCCTTTCTTCTACCATTTTCTTAGGTTTCCCTTGTTATCAGTGTTCCCTGTCATTAGGAGCATCTGAGGATTATAGTTCAGCTTGGAGTTTTATTACCAGAGCTCTGTCTTTTGCTTGTTTAAGAATCAGGAGTTCAAAACAGCAGTCTAGGAGATGGTTCAAATTACCTCCATATTTCATAGAGGCTCTTAGTTTATGTTAAGAGGTTGTGTTGCTTTTCTGAATTATTGGAAAGGAGACTGAAGCTTTCACTTATTAATAGGCTTGTATGTTAGAGTATAGTGGAAAGTTTTGACTGTGGAGTTTGAATCCTGGCTCTGCTACTTGAGTTGCTCTATAATCATTTTTCACTTCACTGTGCCCATTTAATAATGATATTTACTCCTTTAAAGTTGTGAGATTGTTATATTTGAAACTCTGTAGCTAAAGTAGAATATGCTAAGTATTTCAAATGACACTCAAAGCAAAATAGGAGTGTAAGTCATTGAGAGATAGTGATTTTTGATATTCAGGGTTTATCATTCCAAAACGTTTGTTAGGAATGCATATTTTATTAATTTGGTGGTTCCTGCTTAAAAAACCCAAAACTTTAGAACTGCCAGTGAAGAAAACTACAGCTGCCTGCCCTATCACTTTGCAGAATATATCATTATTCTTCAACTGGGATATGTAGAAAAGTGAGTACAAATTCCTGAGCATTTTTATTGATACACTTAAATTGCTACTATGTAAAAGACTCCTTATTACTTTACTTCTATTTAAATGTCAATCTGATGATCCATTCTTTGATGGGAGGGCCTCAATGAATGGATGCCAAAATTTAAACGTTAGTGTCATACATTCTTTTTAATGCATTAACTATGCCTTAAATGAAAAAGTGAGATTAGATTGTTACTTGAGAAAAAAATTACCCTGAGAACCAGTTATATACTTAATATAGGAAACCTAATTTTTATTCTTCCACTTGAATTTTCTTTATCATTCAGGGAACACCAAAGCTTTGTTCAATGTTTGTCTTAGGACTTAATTTTTACTATAAAAAAGTCAAAAATTTAAAATAATTGTTTAAAAATGTTTTACTTTATGAAATCCAATAGATGAGACTAATAAACCTTTCATTCTCAAATAATAATAAATAATTATTTACAAGTAATATTCATTAAATTCATTTAAATAGAGTAAATTTATTTTTAAAGATCAGTCTTCAAAGATAAGATTTTAACAAAAAAAAAAAAAGATAAGATTTTAAGATAACAAATAAAAATTAGTCTTGCTCTAAAGTGTTAAAGCTAGTTCTGCTCTATTTCCAGTAGAGAGCAGCATGAACATGTTTTTAGGACTAAGAGCATTTATTTATAAACAAAAGTTAGATTTTGGGAAAAAACTTAATATGACTCAATTATATAATCCTTTTGTTTTGGTGAAATAGTATTAGATTAGAAATATTTGTAATCTTTTATTTTTCAATTCTTGCTAATGTACAATAAATACTTATGTTTTAAGTATAGAATGTACAAGTTAAAGTTACCAGAAAGCAGCTTTCAGATTTCTGCAATATATTTTAATCTGAAATCACAACTCTAGTGGAAAGTTTTGTTTTGGAAATTCACTAAGATGAATTTGAACCCTGGCACTGCTACCTGAATGAGTTTTCATCTCAGTGTGCTCACTTAAAGAGGGAACAATGCTATTTAACCTATGAATTGTGAGATTTAGATAATACATGTTCTGATTATAATGCTTAACACTTTTACATATAAATGTTCTTAAACTGTTTTACTTAAATTTATGAAATGAAATATCCTCTTACTTGCTTCTTAAAAATACCAAGATTAAAAAAGTTTATGCCTTGGAAAACAAGTCTCAGTGTTGAGAAATAAATCCACATTCTCTCATGAAAAGTAAGTTTAGTGCTATTTCTGCTGCTTACACACACACACACACAATTGGTAGCTATTCCATTTCAGGATGATATTTACACTGTTTTTATATTTTCAAATTTTCTCCTATTGATCAAAAGATAAGTGATAAATATCTATAGCTTATAAGCTAATATTATAACCACGTATTCTTTTTTTTTTTAAAAGATTTATTTATTTATTCATATAGAACTGGGGTACAGGCCAGAGATGCGGAGGGTGAGAGGATTCACCAGAGACAGAGAGGGGAGCAGAACAGGCATATCTACAAAGTACACCGCTGAGGGGCGCAGCAGGCGGGTCAGGAGAAGTCTGCCTAGCAACCACTTCTCCTCCAGGGCAGGCGGGGATTGAACTCATGCAGAAGTGGCTTAAGCTTCTTAGTGCTGCGCTTTAACCCGCTGTGCCACCAGGGAGGGCCCATAAACATGTATTCTGAAGTTGAAGATTTAAGGTAGGAAAATTATGAAATAAAAGTAGTTGGATCACAATTATTACTCTTCATATTTTACTTTTTTTTTTTTTTAACTTACTGCTTTACTTACTAACAATTTCTACAGTGTAAAACATAGTTTGATAAGAACTGTGTACTGGTGTTTGAATCATTTCTTCCTCAGAGCAACCACTTCTCCCAGAGCAAAAGGGGAATGACTGGCTAGATGTGGACTATTTCCTTTCCATAGTTAGAAGCATATTTTACTAGTGCCAAATGTTAATGTAATTACCTAACTATACAGATAGGGCATGGCTTTACTTAAATTTATGCATTTATATTTACTTTTTTTTTTTTAATTATTTATTTATTCATACAGAACTGGGGTACAGGCCAGAGATGCGGAGGGTGAGAGGCTTCACCAGAGACAGTGGGGAGCAGAACAGGCAGATCGAGGAAGTACACTGCTGAGGGGAGCAGCGGGCGGGTCAGGAGAGGTCTGCCACGCCATGCGGTCACCTCCGGGGCAGGCGGGAATCGAACTCATGCGGAAGTGGCTTTGGCTTCTCAGTGCTGTGCTTTAACCCGCTGCGCCACCAGGGAGGGCCCTATATTTACTTTTTTATTGAGATATAATTCATATCGTTTTTTTCAGATGTATGATATAAAGATTTGACATACATCTATATTGCAAAATGGTTACCACACTGAGTTTAGCTAGCATTCATCACTACACAGTTACAAATTTTTTGTGTGTAATGAGAAATTATAAGATCTCACATTTACTTTTAAATTGATATTTAAATTAATAAAAATAATACATTTCCATTAATTTGCTTTATTTCTTTGAAATAAATTCAATTCAAATAAATTCAGTTTCTTTGAAATTGAACATATATGGTTAATGAAATCATTATAACTTGACTTTCTGGTTTTCTCAATTAGGGAAAAAAAAAAACTATGTAGAAATGTTGTACATTGAGAAAGTAGGTGGCGGCAGATGGGTTTAGGTTCAGTGTATTTTGACACCCCAAGTACTGGCTATCTTTTCTTTTGGGTTGTGAACACTTAAGAAACATGAATATTCTTTTTCTTTGTGAAATCCCATATTTCTGACAATAGTGATTCTCAGGATAGTAAACATTTTTGACAGTTTATAGTTCTAAAATAGGGTGCTAACGTCTTTGTCTTTAAAACTGAACCAACAAGCAAAATCAAATCAATAAAATCTTACTTCCATATAACCTTATACCACATTAAAGTGAATTGAGAAGGCATTGAAGTCATGGGGAGAAAAGGAAATGTGATGTAGGCTTGTCCTCTAAGTATTTGGGGCAAATCTTTCTCTTTAATTTTGTAGCATTTAATTGTATACTTACAAAAGGACTAGAAGTCTTCATTTGAATTCAGTTGAGTTATAAACAGGCTTCCAGTCAAATGATTATTTTGCAATGAAGAACAGTTACATATAAATATAATATATAAAAGTTTTCATCATGTTTTCTTTTAAACTTTACCTATGTCAAGTATTCCTAAGAAACCCTAAAGAAAATTTGATAGATTTCTAACAAATTCAATCTTTTAGGCAATTAAAAACTTCTTGTTTTATTTATTTTGGTGTCTTTTCATCCCCTATTGTTATTTTCATTCTCAATTTCTGTGACATGGATAATACAGCCAACCAGCAAACATGACCAACATTAAATTGATTAAAATGTTTTTTTCATCTAAATGAGCATGTGTTTAAAAAGTTTTTCCCCCATTAATGTAAATCACAGCTATTTAGTAAATGTATTTGAAGTGCCTTTTTCTCAACAATTTTAAATAATTTTAAATAGTTGTTACTATATTGAATAAGGAATGCTTAACTGTGGAAATAATACAGTGAGATTTTAGGTAAAGAAGTATCTATAATTTGAAAGTGAAAGAATGTTCTTAGTACTACCACGTTTATAACTACACGGGCTATATTACTCTGAGTATTTCTGTGTTTAACTCCATTTTTATGTTCTAACACTAAATTATACATCTTTGGGATTCAGATTTTACCTTAGATTTTTTTTTTTAAGATTTATTTATTTGTACATACAGAACTGGGGTACAGGCCAGAGGTTCAGGGGCAGTGAGAGGCTTCACCAGAGACAGAGTGGGGAGCAGAACAGGCAGATCAACGAAGTACACTGCTGAGGGGAGCAGCCGGGCGGTCAGGAGAGGTCTGCCACGCCATGTGGTCACCTCCCGGGCAGGCAGGAATCCAACTCATGCGGAAGTGGCTTTAGCTTCTCAGTGCAGTGCTTTAACCCGCTGCGCCACCAGGGAGGGCCTTACCTTAGATTTTAAAGTAGGTTATCTTTATATTGTTTCTATAGATTTCATTTATGGGTTACATTTATTAAAAAATAACCAAGACAGTATTTAGGAGATAATTCTTTAGTATTAGAAAACTGAAAAGTTATCTGTGTGGATACTAAAATCCTTATTTCTCATCTGCAAATAAAAAACCATAAATCAAGACGACTGAAAGTTTTGATGGTATTGTTTCCAATCTCAAGGGTGCTCATTTTAAATAACTATCTAGTTATTAATAGGAAAGCCTGTGGTGAAACCTTGCAATTAACTTTGTTTTTTCTCACTTTAAAAGCTAAAAGGAAATTGATTAATTTCTTAGTGATAATTTTTTTTTTTTTTTTTTAACAGAGGTTCTAAAAGACTATATCAAGCCAAATGGGGAATGTTTGGAATTGTTTGCTCGAAACTTACAACCAGGCTGGACGAGTTGGGGCAATGAAGTTCTCAAATTTCAGCATTTGGATTATTTTATTGCTCTGGAGTCTGGAAGTTGACTGATCTTAATTTTCTTCTCCCTTCACTATACTATTTTTTTCCTTTTATTACCAACAAGTATATGTAGATATTTAACTATGACTATTTTTTTTTTAGCAGAATGACCAGAAGTGACTATCCTTATAATTTTGAGATTGATTTTATTTAGTTACATTCGTATTCCATATTATTCTATTAGGACTTAATACAAATAAAGAGAAAGATGGAAAGATTGTATTTTAAATGAAGAAATTCAGAAAGCATCTTGCCTATGGATTTTGTTTTTTGTTCCATATAGTTGTATGAAAAGAAACTTTGTACTATCATTCTAAAAAAATCAGGAAATTCACATATAAGACCAGATTTCTATTTTACTTTAAACATAGTAGCTTGTGTTCTTTCCTGACATCAAATTGTGGAACTCTGTAGTGGCGGTTACTTGGGAATGACTTTGCTCTCTAGTTTACCAAAGTACCTCTTTGCTGCATGCTACATACATTCTGGAATGGTATTCAAAGATTTTTTCCAAGTACTGTGTCATATGGAATCATGAAAACATTTTTGAAGGGTTTTAAATTGTTGTCAGGGAAACTTATCAGTACTTCCTCATTTTTTTGTTTTTCCAGAGGAAAATTTAAAAGCTGTTTCTTATAAAATGTCAGAAAGCAAACATTTTGTGTTTGTGAAAATATTATTTCTATTATTTACACATTTTTATGCAAATAAATATTTGTTTTCTAAGTAAAATATATTGAATGAAATGATTCTATACAAAGCATGCTGATTTGTTGTATATAACTTTTTAAGAAATTTTGGAGACAGTCTTTCATGTATTAACATTATTTGGCTTTCGGTTAGTTTTGAAAATGTATATATGTAGTCTGTATAACACCTAATCTTGATATAGAACATTTTCTTCAACCACAGAACTTTTTATGTGTCCTTTCATAGTCTCTCTTTGGCTCTTGACAAACAATGATTTCCTTTCTATTATTATTTTTACTTTTTAGAATTTCATGTAAGTGAAATCATATAGTATGTAATCTGTTGTCTGCTTCTTTCACTTACATTTTAAGAAAATATTTTACACTATAGTTTTTCTACTAACATTTATTGACTAAGTAAAATTAGAAATTGAATGAGTAAAATTAGAAGCTACTAATTATTGATTTGCTAAAGAAAAATGTTTTTTTTTTTTAAGATTTATTTATTTATTCATACAGAACTGGGGTACAGGCCAGAGATGCGGAGGGTGAGAGGATTCACCAGGGACAGAATGGGGAGCAGAACAGGCAGATCGACGAAATACACTGCTGAGGGAGCAGCGGGCGGGTCAGGAGAGGTCTGCCGCGTCATGTGGTCACCTCCGGGGCAGGCGGGGATCGAACTCATGTGGAAGTGGCTTTAGCTTCTTAGTGCTGTGCTTTAACCCGCTGCGCCACCAGGAGGGCCAAAATACGTTATTTTTTAAAGTTTGCTCATTTGTGTGTGTGAGCATAGTATTAAAGGTTTAACTTGGTATTTATAGCAGTATTCTAATTTGTTATTTAAAAGGAAAAAGTTATTAAACTGGAAGTGAATTAATGAGGTCATTTGAAACAGTTTAGCTTCTTGTGGTATTCATAGATTTTATATAGTATTGGAAGCATTTTATTCTCACCATGTTTTTGGACTTTTACTTTGCATCACATATACTGACAGGAGAGAAAAAAAGATTTTTTTTGTTGAATAAGTCTGATCTTTAAATCATGGGAGTCTTAGTTTTGCAGCAAGTATTTTATTTATAATACCATTTAATTGTTGGCTTCTATTTTGATCAAAGGTTGATTCTTCAAAATAAAACAGTGACATGCCTTTCTAGTGCAAAGAGGTCAGAGTAAGAGATCTGAACTTTGACTTCATTACCACTGAGTTTCAGTTGACTGAACTGATGAACATTAATTTAATTTTATATCATCTTTTCCTTAGGAGCTTTTTTAATTATCTTGTAACTTGTAAGAATGTTTTCTTTCCTTCGGCTGTATTATTTTTATAGTCAAAAGGACTTTTAGTACTCTTGGAAATGCTTATGGAAGGAGATGGAACAAGTGTTTATTGACTATTCTGTTTTTCTTTGCTGTGCTTTTTTTTTTTTTAAAGATTTATTTTATTTTTTCATACAGAACTGGGGTACAGGCCAGAGATATGGAGGGTGAGAGGATTCACCAGGGACAGAGTGGGGAGCAGAACAGGCAGATCGATGAAGTACACTGCTGAGGGGAGCAGCGGACGGGTCAGGAGAGGTCTGCCACCCATGTGGATCTCCTCTAGGGCAGGCGGGATCCGAACTCATGCGGAAGTGGCTTAAGCTTCTTAGTGCTGTGCTTTAACCCGCTGCGCCACCAGGGAGGGCCTGCTGTGCTTTTTAATGTATTTTATTGCATTTAGTCTTTGAACCATTTGAGAGCCTAGCTCCATTTAATAGTCAAGAAAAGTGGCCCAAGACTATTTTGACCAAAAACATAAATATTGAAGATAGAATACATAACTCCATGATTCCATACACCATACTCTATTCTATACAAGAACATGAAAAGCCAGGCAATTGCTAAGGAATTCTATAGTGATATACACTCTAGCCTGTTCCCTCTGGAATTTGGTTTGATTTGAACTTACTGAGACGCCATGTAAAGCCAATTGGCATCTTAGCCAGCCCATACAAAAAAAAATCTCTTAGCCATCTCACTTTCACATGGCTAACAACTGACACCACTTAAATGATTGCCTCAAGGTAGAGCATGGTACATGCAATTGGCAGAACCTGGACCACTTAATAGTGTCGTAAAATTAGAAGTTTACTAATTATTGATTTGCTAAAGAAAGGGATTGGGGAAAGAAAAGCTTCCCCTTTTTTGATTTCTATGGCCATCCCAAAGCCAAACTCTGCCCCCACCCAAGGCCAAACTCTGTACCCGCTTATCACTCTTATATTAGAGCTCTAAAACTGGGGACATCTTCACTGGAGTACTTAGTTTTCCTTCAAATTACTCACTTTCTTAGCATAATTGCCAAGAGGGGTGAGTTTAGCATCCATTTTTTCCTTAGTGCTACTTCAGAATCTTTGTTCCTTTTTTCATGTTGAACCTCTTTGGGGCTGATACCATCTGTGTGGAATAACCATTTGCACCATTCTAATTGTGATAGTGTGTGACTGAGGAGTACCCAGGGACCCCAGACTGTTACTGAGTGCACACTCTAAAAGGGATTCAGCCATCTGCAACAAACAGACTCAAAAGCTACAAAGCATACTCTGAAAGATTTTTAATAGATATTTGTATTTATAGAAAAAGAAAAAAGGATTTAAAATAATTTCCAGGAGAGCTCCCCAAATTACTCATTTCCTTGTGGTCAAATGTTTAACCAAACAGGCTTAATTTGTTTGGAGCCCTTGAGGTCTGAAAACTTGCCATAAGTCTAAGGTGGGAAAGCATAAGAAGGGGATCAGGTAGGTCTCAGAGAGATGGGACAGAAGAGAGATTCAACATTAAAACTATACCACATCAAGGTAACACACCATTGGGCTCTACTAAGGACCAGGAGTAACCTCTCCGGATGTTTCTCACCTATGTGTCTCTTCCAAGTATCTCTTTCAAGTTCTACATGTTTCTCATCTATAAGTCTTTCCCCAGCATTACTAGGGTGCAAGTAAGCTGATAAATCAGGAGAAACTGAGCTGCTTTCTGTGGCATACAAGTCCATCTGACTGCTCAGCTCCACTTCTAGTTTCCAGCAGCTCCCCAGTTTAGGAAGTCCTATGGCATCCTGGGACTTGTAGTCTAAGGTGGCTGCCTATAAATGGGAGTACAGAAAATGGTACCTCCTCTTCACAGAGTTGGATCTTTAATAATTGGGTTTTTTTTATCCACCTACCCTCTTCCCACTTGTTAGAAATATCTTTACAGTTCTCTATTAAAGTTGGTCTTACAGTTGACTTTATAGTATGAATTCACCTTCATTTTATTCTATAAATTTAGTATGTTAAATTAAGTTTATGATGTGTTCCTTCCAAACCTGCCACTATTCCTGAATTCTCTTAGTTTATAATTAGTTAACTATCTTCCAGATTTACTAAGTCAGAAATCAGAGTTATTCTGAATCCTTTCCTTTTCTGAGTATTCCATACATAATCTAGTTACTGTAGATACCACCTCCTTAAAATTTTCTTGAGACTGTTTCATGTTTATATTTGGCTTACCACGCCTTAGTACAATTTTAATTTCTTTTCATGTGGATAACTGTCATCTATTTCTAACTGCTTTCTATTTTTAAAATGCATTTTTTGAATCTATCCCCACATGCCAAAGTAATCTTCCTAAAACAAATCTGATCATCTCATTCCACTGATGAAATCCTTTTGTGACCCTACTAGCTCTCAGAATAGAAATCAGTTTCATCCCTTTAAGATAAAGGGCTGTCCTTGATGTGACCTTGACTTTCTATAATTCAACTACTATATCTTCTATATGGTCTATTTTGCTCTATACATATAGTTCTCTAGATTGGTCTTTTACTTTCTTCCCCATGCTGATTGCTATTAATATTTTGGAATCCATTTGAGTATTGACTTAGGTATTTGTAACTAAAAATGGGTTTTTGATCCAATTTAGGGAAATCAGTCCTTGAAACTTTTCTTCTGGAAGAGCTTACCTTTAATTATGAACTTAATGTTGCTGTAAATGCACATCTTTATATTAAGTGATTCTGAGTTGTCTTAGATTTATATCTTCTCAGACATAGCTTGGTAAACGCTTTCTTTAAGTGATGCTACTACAGTAAAATAGAGGTAAGATGAAACTGTTAGAACAATACATTAAAAATAGATAACATATCATTAGGAGTTTAACATGTAGAACAAAAAGATTCCATAGGTTCAAATGTGTATTTGATTTATTTATCCCAAGAGCTTGCCAATATTCTCATGCTAAAAAAGCTTATGGTACAAGATTACAAGAGTATTTAGTTTTGATAATATATCTGACTAAAAGCAGACTTATATCCCCTTGTTTATGACATCTGCCATTTGCCTTTGTTTTTTACACACAGACATAAACACATAATAGTGTGTTAATTTTAATTGTAATACAATTTAAATAAATCCACACAAATAGTAAAATATGAATGTTAGAAAAAAATACAACAGACAAAATAGAAAAGGAAAAAAGTTAAATAACTAGAAATTAATTAAATTTGTTTAATTATATAAGAATTAAACAGAATGGCTTCTTGTTGTCTAGCCTTGCTGTAGGGATTGAGAGGGTTATAATCTAGTCATCTGGAATTTGCAGTTTTATCATGGAGACGGGTAAAGCAGAAAAACTTAATAAGCTTGCAGAGGTTATAGCAATTACTGGCAACCTGAATAGTAACAGCAGAAAGTACAGCATTTAAGGTAAGAGAAATATATAAAAAGTTTTTCAAAAGATAAAATGAGGAAGACTTTCTATCTTTTTGTGCTTTAATGCCCTGTGGTGGGTTTTTAGTAGCGTATTCTTCATAGATCCAAATCAGAAGCAAGTTCCCTGGGTGACAAACTTTTATTTTCATAATCCTTTGTAGTGTTTGAAAAATTTCCTATTGAAGGAGGTGGTGGAAAATAAGATTTTCCAAAGGTTTCTGTGTTT